GGGTGAGTTGTTTGGGTGCTGTGGGTGTAAGAAGAAGAGTGGGGCTGTGGGGGGGTGTGTGGGGGTGAGAAAAAACCACTGCTCTAGATGAACCAAATCTGGACTGTCAAAACTGAGGTGATTGTGAGATGGCAGCACACTTTTGCTGCTACCATTTTTACGGCTCAGATCTGGTCACCCGGCATACTCATTTGTTTATTTACTTAGCAAAACACAATCTTGTTAGGCACTGATAGGAGAGAGTTAGGATGAGGCACAAGCTACTTCTACCTGCTAAAGCAATGTATTGCTGGCACAGCAAGCTATCAGTAGAACAGTGATCTGCCATCGTTAGGGCTAAAAATGGGGAGAAGAAAAGCTACGTCAAAGAAAGAGTTGAGTCACACCATCTTCCAGACGGACTAGGGGCCTGTTAGGGTGATAGTACTGTACAAAGTTAGTTCAGGCTAAGAGTCCCTCGCTAATTTCTAACATCTTGAATTCATTGGGAGCTCTAAAAATACCATCTCCCTCTATCTGTGCTGATAGGATTTAGATTTAGCAAAGATACAGCCAGCATTATCTCAGTCAGATGGGCCATTTTGGTTAACTACTTCTGCATGTAGATGTCCCATATATGTTTTCTGGTCAACTCACAAAAGCATTATATATAAAATTATATAATATAACACACTATCCTGAACAATGTAGACTATAAAATATACATTACTGGCTTGGCACTGTAATGCCAGAAAATAATATTATGCAAACTTCTCTGGGGAAAATATTTCATTATCATGGTGCCACTATCTGCTTCAACAAATATGCCTTGGGGTCAGTGAAGAAGACCTTAAGTTTTTTCATTAATGGATTTAGTATATATGACCATGAAAATAAAATGCTAGTACTGTGCATATCTTCCAAACCAGTTCTGTGCAATCACATAGTCCCTTTTATTAGGCCAAGCAAAATGTTACAAAATAGCATGTAAGTTTACAAGTTCTCAGGTATGTTTCTTCAGTCCAGGTGATAAACATAGCAAATATGGAATAGCTAAGATACTGCACAGAACCCTCAAACTCCCAGGCCTCTGGTAGAGGACCTGAGATTGAGGAAGACACATACCACCCATAGGGGTGAGAGCGGATTTTTTTTTTTAAATGAATGAAAGTCATAGACAAGTTGCATGCAAAATGAAATGCATGAGAGATAACCTGAATCAAATATGGAATAGCTAAGATACTGCACAGAACCCTCAAACTCCCAGGCCTCTGGTAGAGGACCTGAGATTGAGGAAGACACATACCACCCATAGGGGTGAGAGCGGATTTTTTTTTTTAAATGAATGAAAGTCATAGACAAGTTGCATGCAAAATGA